ATGAATCACCTTTTGCTACCTTCTTCAAGCAAAATCTGTGGGGAAGCCAGACTCATTTAATAACCATGTTACTATCTTAACAGCTGCAGTGATTCACTTAACAACTGTGGCAAGAAAAGTCGTAAAACGGGGCAAAATTCATTTAACTGCCTTGCTTAGCAACATAAATTTTGGTCTCAGTTGTGTCGTAAGTTAAGGATTATCTGTAATTACAGAGTTTCCCTGTATGTAGTGAGATCTTTTTAAATGGCTGCGAAATGAAGAAACACAAATGAAAATTGAGAAGAAGGAAATTTCATCTAATCATCGTCATTGTCTTGATTGGAGATGGTGAGGTATGAATCATGATAAGCTCAAGAAAGAAAGGTCATCTCAAAAAGTAAGGAAATATTAAGGATATAGTTTGGGACTGTGGCACAACTATCTTTAGTAGTATTGGTGCATAACATTTCAGGAAATGGGCTCATTCAAAGAAATGTGGCGTATCATTCTCTATAAATGTGAGAATTCCTGAACACAACACAGTCTGTTTGGGTTTTTTTGCCAGAGAAGTATCTTCCTCATAAGATTTGTGAAAATCATCCTCCTTAGACCAGGTTTTCTATATGCCTATACAATTCAGGGGCTAATTAGCCATTCCATTTCTGCCTTTATAAAAATGGTAGGGAAGGCCATGACTATCTGGCCTACATTCAGGTACTCACTACTATTCTCTCTCCCCCCCCCCAAGAAAAATGGGGGTTAGATTTTAAATTGTTATTCTAAGTAAATGGCCCTCTTCTTTCTGGCACAACTTGCTCATTCTGGTTATATGTGGTCCTACTCTGATGATGCTTCAGAAGATGACAAAAAACAGTCCTCTTGACGAGATTTTTTTAGACACACTGAATTGCAGTGTTGGGTTTAAGTTTTCCATTGTTTAGTTGATTTGTTAGTTTTATGGATGGATGTTATAATTATATGAATGTTTTACTCTATGAATTGTAAGCTCCTTAGAATCAGAAGAGTAGGTGGCATGCATATTTTGGTAAATAGATGGAGCCAAACATAAATTTAATGAGGAAGTGCTGTTGCTAACATGCAGGACTATTCTAGAACTACTAATCCTGAGAAAAGATTTGCCATTGATTATTAGACAGTTTGTGGGGAAAAATTGAAATAGGCCAGCAATAGCTATAGCTATTGGACTGCAAAAATCCAGATAATCGCTAGATGGCAGCAAAGAAGTAAAGAAAAATAAATCATCTGAGCTTTTGCAGCTCAGATAGGGTTAAGATAGACCCATTTAAACTAATCTTCTTACCAAGATTCTAAACTTATTCTTTGTGCATATTCTGATAATGTTTGTTCCAAACCATCTTTTTAAAATATTTGAACCAGGAGAGTTGAACTGAGAAGTGTTCTTCACTCCATATAACTCTCCAGAACAAATATGAATCCAGTCAATATCAATTTTGAATCCCAAAAAGAGAAGTCATCAGGGATGGCAATTTGGAGAAAAGAAAAAATGGAAAAGAAGTCATTTAATCATCCCTATACCTCAAAATCCACTTAGATGTTCTTTTAAACAATCTGGTGTAGGAATTCAGTTACGAAGTCTTACAAATATGTTAATAAATCACTGTCAGGCAAGGCTGTGTGCCTTTATATAGAACTTATTCCTGAAAAAGCTGCCAGACAGACATTAAGCAATGCCTGAGTGCTTTCTCTGGATCCACACATTTGGTGGATTAGCCAGAAAGTTTTTTTATGTTTCTCCCTGAGTGTAAAACTCTTCAACATGCCTAGTTTTGCATGCTCATTTTCGACCACTTTTTCAGGCTTATGATCCCACCAGTTCTTGGCTACAGGCAGATGGTAGTTGTGACACAAGTTCCAGTAGACCATCTGAGTGACTGTGTTGTGATGTTGTTTGTAGTCAGTCTGAGCAATTGTCTTGCAACAGCTCAGTATATGATCGATGGTTTCGTCCGCTTCTTTGGAAAGTCTGAATTTGAGGTCATCAGCATTTGATGGAATGCATATATTATTATTATTATGACAGTATACACAGCAAACAAGATAACCATGCTGGGTTTCATATCACAAATCACTAGTCGAACACTTCCCAAGTATTTAGGACTGCGTAATGTATCGGCGGATTATGCGATCAGATCCCAGTAAGGTGGCCTTCTGCAGCTGACCAATTTGTCAGCGCCAATTGTTTTTAAGTGCTTGCCTAGGTCTGTAGGCACAGCACCCAGTGTGCTGAGCACCACTGGAACCACCTGCACTGGTTTGTGCCAGAGTCTCTGCAGTTCGATTCTCAAGTCCTGATATCTGGTGACTTTTTCAAGTTGTTTCTCGTTGATTCTGCTGTCACCAGGTATGGCAATGTCGACGATCCACACTTTTTTCTTCTCCACAATCGTGATATCCAGGGTACTGTGTTCCAAAACTTTGTTAGTCTGTATTTGGAAGTCCCACAGTAGTTTTGCATTCTCAGTTTCAACCACTTTTTCAGGCTTATGATCCCACCAGTTCTTTCCTACAGGCAGATGGTAGTTGTGACACAAGTTCCAGTGGACCATCTGAGCGACTGTGTTGTGATGTTGTTTGTAGTCAGTCTGAGTGATTGTCTTGCAACAGCTCAGTATATGATCAATGGTTTCATCCACTTCTTTGCAGAGTCTGCATTTGGGGTCATCAGCAGATTTTTCTATTCTGGCTTTGATTACATTTGTTCTGATGGCTTGTTCTTGGGCTGCAAGAATCAGGCCTTCTGTTTCTTTCTTCAGTGTTCCATTGGTCAGCCATAACCAGGTCTTTTCCTTATCTACTTTTCCTTGGATCTTTTCAAGGAACTGTCCATGCAGTGCTTTGTTACACCAGCTGTCAGCCTGAGTTTACATCACTGTTTTCCTATATTGATTCTTGGTTTGCTGTACTTTGTGCAGCTTCCTCTTGTTGACCTGTATCAAAGCTGGTTCAACACTGTCTTTCACATAATCTGCCAGAGCATGCTTCTCTTCTTTGACTGTCTGCTTCACTTGCAAAAGTCTTCTGCTGCCTGGTTTATTTTTATTTTTATTTTTATTTTTATTTTTATTATTATTATTATTATTATTATTATTATTATTATTATTATTATT